TGATATCGCTTCAAAAATGCCAAAAATAACGAATTAATAACGAATTAACGAACGAAACCGCACAGGCCTACTATTGATCTATTCACATTTGCATGTTTTTGAACTGCTAGGTTGGCAGAAGCTGGGGCTAACGATGGGAGCTCATCCTGTCCTGGGGATTTGAACCACTGACCTTTCTGTCAGCAAGTTCTGCAGCTTAGTGGTTTAACCCACTGCACCTCCAGGGCTCATACCATGCAAGATATATAGCTTTAAAAATATGTTACCTGTCCAGTCCCATAATTTGCAGGGTTGGTCTTTCATAAAGACAGAAACATGTGCATCTTGTATTTTATGAATGTGGCCAATATGTTAATTTTACAGAAATAAAAATGTGGCTTTCAGATTTTACTCAGGTAGGACATGTAATGAATGTTTCTGTCTTTTTATTGCTATTTTGAAAGTCTATCAACAGGCATCGTAGGACAAGAAGGGCATTTACAAGTTGGAACATGTCCAGAGAAGGGGTGACCAAAATGATAGAAGGTCTGGAGATCATGCCCTACAAGGAGTGGCCTAGGGAGCTGGATATGTGTAGCTGGAGAGGAGAAGGTTAAGAGATGACATGATAGACGGGTTTATATATTTGAAGATGGAGCAAGTTTGTTTTTTGCTACTCCAGAAAATAGGACACGGAGTAATGGATTAAAATTACAAGAAAAGAGATTCCACCTAAACAAAAGGGAGACCTTTCTGATGCTAAGAGCTGTTTAACACTGGATATGCTGCCTTTGAGTGTGGTGGCCTCTCTTAATTTGGAGGCTTTTAAACAAAGTCTGGATGGCCACCTGTTGTGTATTGTATATTCCTGCATGGTCCCATTGGCTTCTTCCAAATCCATGGCTCTAAAAGGCTGGATATACACTGCCATGTAATGGAATCTGAACTGCACTATATAGTTAGTGTAGACTCATATAATGTAGTTCAATTCAATTCAAATTATATGGTAGTGTAGAACTAAGCTAAATTGTCCAGGCCACCACTCCAAAAGACTACAAACTATGAACTAAATACAAATGTTACACCATGCACCACAAAGGTCCAACCACATATTCAAAGGAACTAATGTATGTAAAAAAATACCAACAGGATCCTAGTCAAAGTTCAGAGTGCTGCATACAAAACAATGATGGGACAAAAATGTAGATGGGAATGGAAGAAATAGATATGAGAGATTTTGGGAAAGGTCTTGAGTTACAGTCTGAATATCAGGGGAAATTATGGTTTAAGAAACTGGGATGTTTTTGTCAAAGTGGGGCACACAAAACAAGGGGAAAGAAGTGCATGAAAGAAGTGGGATAGTATTTAAAATTGCTATCCCACATACAAATCTAAAGTCACTACCTCAGGTATCATTTTTCAAAATGATGACCACACATAGATACTTAAATGCTCCCCCTACTGAGTGCTGAGATTTTCTTGGTCAAACTCATTGGGGTGAAAAAGGTCAGACTACGATATCAAAACCACATATATATTCTGACTCAGTAACAATTTCCCATGTTACTAACAAATATATATTTGTCTTAAGTTTAATAGAAAGCCTACATCTTGAAAACTTGAAACTCACTCAAGCTTTACACATTTCTTTTTGAAAATAATGATTAATGCACAAGCACCCATACAATCCATGACAATTCTACCTTCTGGATGACTTTTAATCCACTTTTATGGTTCTGCCATTCTTTGAATTTCTCCACAGCTTCATCCATAGAAATTGTTCCCCTCTTCACTTGCTCCTGCAATAGTATCAGTTCTTCTTGGCCTGATGGGACAGTGGGCATATCAGTAGTATATGTGGTATTGTAATTTCCAGCTCTTTCTGCAAGCAGCAAATGGAAACAGGTAGGAAAGTTGATTCACACTCAGAACAATATTTACTGAAAAATAAATTCCAGCCAGAAAATAGATAGTCACAGAGTAATTACCGGGGACTCTGCCTTGTAGTACAATTCAGTTTATTCTAGAATGTGAGGATTAATCTTGATTACAAATCTGGAAGGCATCAATCTGGCTTCCCCTGCAGAGTATAGGACTGTACGCAGGAAGTAAGTGAAACTAAATGTTTTCATAAGATAGATATTGCTTCCCCTTGCTACTTCAAGATATCAATTTATAGAATATTTAGTTAGAAATATCATTCTTCTTTATCCAGTTGTAAATAGGGCCAGACCTACCAGAGCTATGCCATGTAGCCATTGATTATGTGTTTGTGTTTCTTATGCCTTAAACTCACTTCTGACTTATGGTAACATCAGATTGACCTATTACTGTTTTTATGGGGAGGGAGTAAGATTTGGTTAGAGGTGGTTTGCCTTCCCCTTCCTCTGATGATAAGAGGATGTGATTTGCCCAAGGCCACCCACTGGGTTTCCATGATGGAGCAAGGATTTGTCCAATGCTCGTACCATTACACTGTGCTGCCAAGGTATAGAGGAAGAAACATACCTCATGACTCAAAACAACATGATTGATTTTGCATCTTATGCATCTTGGTTGTTGGTGGACAACATTTATTGCTATATCTCTGGCAGTAGAATAATTTGGGTTGGCTTTTGTTATTAGTAGTTGGCCTCTGTGCTGTCATAGTTATGCTTCCTCCCACTCAAAGATAGTAGGTCATGTTCTGGTTTTTAGCTTCTCTTTAGTCTGTTTGATATTATAGCATTGAATCTAAATTTCAGAAGGGGCATCAAGAAGCTTTAACTTCCTAGTATGGCTGTTGTTGTTGTTGTTGTTGACTGATAAAATGAGATGAATGCTGCCCATACAGATTAGTAAAAAGTCAATATTTAGCTGCAGTGGGGGAGTCTTGATGTATTCAGAGACAGAGCATTCAGATTCATGGCCATTTGCCTGCTTAATTCACTCTCCATTAAATTTAGTTGTCACTGGTATTTTCACTGTGAGATAGCATTGTACCATTAACTAATTATGAAATTCAAGAGAGGAAGTACTGACACATTGCATTAAGGCCAGGCACTTTGGTTCACAAAACAAGGACAGGAAACACAGTGTCATCAAGATAGCATCTCACAGCAACCAAACACTGTGTGTGTTACACTTTCCCAACAATAAGTATTGTATAGTGCTGGATTCTCTCTCCAGTATCTGCAAGGACAATTGGCAAGCATTATATAGCCCTGTAGACAAGATGCTGAATTATGCATGATGGGATAGGAAGTCAAGCCAGCTGTTCAGGAATGTGAACAAAGGCAGTACTATCAGGAGTGCATGGTGACTTCCTCCTTGAAGAAGTGGTAAATCTACTATGAACTTTATTCTGAACTAACCAAGATAATGAACTTTTGCAGAGGTTCCATACCTAAGACTGGTCTTTTAAAGTTCCAATTGAAAACTAAAATGGATTCATTGTACTGAGATACAAACCACCCACCATCACTGAGTAAAATTTCCATATGACTTGGAGACAAGGTATCTTAAGCTGGTCCAAATAGCTACCAGCCACCAGATTATTAACTGGGGCCAATTAGCAGAAGCACCCGACTGCTTTATTACAACAGCTCTACTGGTTGTCAATCTGTTTCTGAGCACAGTTCAAAGTGCTGCCTGTGACCTATAAAGCTCTCTACCAGTGATTCTCAACCTGTGGGTCCCCAGGTGTTTTGGCCTACAAATCCCAGAAATCCCAGCCTGTTTACCAACTGTTAGGATTTCTGAGAGTTGAAGGCCAAAATATCTGCAGACCCACAAGTTGAGACCCACTGCTCTATACAGTCTGAGCCCAGGTTTTCTAAAGGACTTCATATGAACCTATTCAACCTCATTGATTTCTGGGGGTTGTAGGCTCCACCACCTTCACAGACTTGTTTGGTGGAAATGCAAATGAGAGATATTCTTGTAGACTTTCCCCAGACTCTGGAAGTGTGGAATTAGTATGGCTCCCTTCATATTTTTCTTTTATCAGAGGCAAACACCCTTGTATTCCAGTAAAGTTTTGGAAACTAGCTGTTTTCTTAGCAAATCAGACTTTTCTTTTAAACTGAAGTTTTAAATGGGCAGTTTAATGTTCTTTTGACAATCTCCCCTATCCCTTGAGTGCAGGATACATTCAAGGGCTTTGAATGACTATATGAAACCATAGGTTATATCAAACCTCTACTGAATGAATAACTTCTGCCTACAGTATAGCATAGAGTTGTGTTGGAACAGCTAAGAGAAGACCCCTCTATGGTCATCTTCTGGATGAAGCATGCCATAGAATTGCCTGGAAGATCATGAAAATGCCTAGGCTAATGAGATAAAATGTAATACAATACAAGCCTTTGACTGATGTGTGTACAGGCTTGTATTGTATTACATTTTATCTCATTAACCATCTCAAGACCCAACATTTGGAAAAAGGAAGACTAAAAATAAAATAATACAATATAATTCAGTATCTAAATAATGTCTTAAATGGCTCAAGTCCAAGATATCTATTAAATGACTAAAACAAAGGTACTTTACAGACACAACATATAACACTTTTAAAGTCATTTGAGAGGCCTTTTGACAGGAACTCATGTTTTATTCCATTCTGTTACTTCTTTATTTTTAGATAGAAAAACTCAGTATCAAGTGTCATGTGCTCTCAAGTAATTCTGATTTATGGTGAATGTAAAGCAAACTTATCATGAGGTTTTCTTGGCAAAATTTGCTCAGAGGGGATTTGCTTATTTTTCTTAAAAAGTGTTGACTTTCCCAAGGTGACCCAATGGGTTTCCCTGACCAAGCAGGGTTTTGAACTCTGACCTCCAGAGCTGTAATCCAATACTCAAACCACTACACTATGTTGACTGTCAATGGGGATTACAATCTGGAATGTCCCAATCTCAATTTAACACTCTATCCATTGCACCGTATTGGCTGCCATGTTTCTATTGGTTTTTCATATAGGTAGTACTGAACCAGGGAGCCGATAGCAAATACCTCAGGGAAGTGGTTCTTTCCATTTCAATGGACTCAAGAGATCCCTAAACCCTGTGTTTAACCTCGTTTAACCTTGTTTTTTTCCCCTGCTGCTCTGTCTGGTGTGTAATAACATTTGGCATACCAGTTGGCATTCTGAATTGGTGCTTTGATGTGGAACCTCATAAGATGGCTGCTACATGCCATTTCCATGTATTTAGGAAATGGAGCCTCTCAGGAGCCCCATGGAGGCCATCATATGACATGCTGGCACTTCCAGTGTGACCCCATTTCCTAAGCACAAGGAAACAGAGTTTAGCAGCCATCTTGAGGATCCAGGTGTTATCTGACTCCAACCCTCCAATGTGGGAGAAAGCAAGGGAAAGGAGAGGAAAAGTGCAGTAAGTATGTGGGATGGCTGGCCATCCTTGAAGATGGGGAAAGATGTGAGGGAACAGATTAATCCACTTTCCTCCACTGTCCTCCCTTTCTCTCACTTTCCCAATTTCCACCCTGTTTCATCTGATGAGGTCCTTGGAATGGCACAGGTCCACCATTCACTACATGAAACTTCCACAGATTTAGTTGTTTGAGCCTTGGGTTGCAATTCTGAAGGTCAATGTTCAAAACCCTGCTTCATCATGAAAATCCACTGGCCCACCTTAGGCAAGTCAAACATTTTTTAAAAGAAAGCAAAGGCAACTTCCATTCCCCACCCCTTTGGGGTCTATATGGCATGGATAAATATTGTTGTGATATAATTCTCATTAGTCAGCATGGACAATGATGTGGGATTAAGAGGTTTCAAGCCCCAAACAAATGGAGAGTCAAAACTGCCCATTCTAATGCAAAAGCAAAGTAGGCAAAAGGAGGAGGAGGAGGAGAAATAATTTGACTAACTTTCTTCCTCACAGAAAGAGATGTTAAGATGTTAAGGTTGCAATGCTATGACCCTTGTCTGGTGGTGACGTACAATTTTAAAGTACATCATAGCATGGGAAAAGAATCCCTTTCACTTGAAGTCTGTTGGGGAAAAGGCACCCTATGCTAATGACAACTACTACCAACCCAGTGTAATATTTCTGCATTATAAACTATTTCTCAGAATGCCCTAGATTAATCTGAAGTGCCAGCTTTACCATTGCAATGGCCATTTATCCACCACCATATGATGGTAAAATGGTTACTTATTACTTCTGTAGAAAACAAAACATGATACCACCCGCGTCTTGCTCACATTGCTGGCATTCTTATCAGTGGGTTTTCTATGGTGCTTCAACCCATAATAAATCCTGATTTGATTCCCTTTGGAAGATATTGTACTGTTGCAAAACAGCTTTAATTAATGTTCCCCCTTTCACTTTAATTGCACCCAGTGGCTACAAGATAACACAGTATAATGGAGCATCTGGCCAATGTATGAAACATACTTTCATTTCAGCTGGTGATTGATGTTTAGAAATTGTTTGGACTTGTATAATGGTAACCTTGGACATTTGTGTTAACTTAGACATTTAATCATATCCAGAAAAATAGTATAATGTTTCTTGAAGATTAGAATAGACACCTTGTTTACAAAAATGAAACATATAATACACTAGGATTTTTTGTCGCCAATTAAATAGGTATGAAGACAGGGCCCTGAATCATGCATAAAGAGCCATGGCAATGTACAATCAAAATGATAAGCCATGTTCTCAGAGTAAATTGAGAACCTTAAATATTTTTTTTAAAAAAATTAAATGAAATCCTGGAAAGGATTTGTATGAACATAGTAACCACAAGCCAGCAACAGAATCTACACCTGCAATTTCAAGCTAGTACTCTTTGATTGTACTAATAATACATCTTAGCTCTTGAAATAAATGGAATGATACAGGCAGTGACAACCCCATGTAAACATTATGTAGCACATATATTTTCCCTTCTTAATTTGTTTTCTACTTCTGGCAGACCACTTGATCAAACCAATGAGAGATGACAGCAGATATCAGATATGAATTTGTCCCTCAAAACATTGCTAGTCAAGCTTTCTGATATGGGGGTTTCCCCCCTCCAATGTGATAAATTAAAGGTTCAACTGTATGCTGATCTGTTTTAGTAAGCCCAAACTTCATATTGAAAATAGCTGACGTCTGCACATGGTCTGTATTGTTTGCTGAGCTCCATCATTTGTGTTATGCTAGAAATGCTGTAAGTCCAATATTGCGTGCCCAAGGCCAGCAAACAGAGGTTATGATTATATACAGTGCCACACTCTGATAATATGCCCTTAAACAGCAAACAAACCTTAGCTACATGTTGTGCTGCTCACATAGACCTCAGATATGTGTTAGGTATAGAAAAACAGTTTTGCTCATGTACACTTTGTTGTTTGTGTATCAGTATAAAATCAGTATAAAATACTGATGCTTGAAAGAAACTATCTTGGCCAGTACTGTGAGTAGGTTAGAGTGAAAGGAGGACTGAGACTTGATGGATTCCTTAGCCAAAGTTATTGTGTGCTGTCTATTTCTCTTGATGTTCTGATTTAGGGATCATCCAAGCTTTATGTCCTATTTGGGGAATACTGTATGACTGATATTTCAGTCCTATTCAACAATGACATAGTTGTACCAATTGGCTACCCATTAGTATCCTTTCGTTCCTGGAAGCTCACTGTGGACAAGCAGCTAATGGCTCACAGTCCATTTCCAGTCCATGCACAATTTATGTATCAAAGCCTTAGAAAAGCAGTTTTCAACCTGTGGGTCCCCAGGTGTTTTGACCTACAACTCCCAGAAATCCCAGCCAGTTTACCAGCTGTTAGGATTTCTGGGAGTTGAAGGCCAAACATCTTGGGGACCCACAGGCTGAGAACCACTGCCTTAGAAGATTGCTTTCTCCAGCCTGCTGTCTTTCAGAAGTGTTGAACTACAACTCTCAATGATCATACTAGCTAGGGATGATGTGACCTGAAAGCCAACACAACAGGTTGGTGGAAGGCGGATGTAGGTATACTTCCAATACATTGTGTTGAGGATACCACCCAGAACATCATATTTTTATATACAGAAGAAAAATAATTGCAGAAATGAGTCACTGTGCTGGCGTTAACCATCCTTTGTGTTCCTTTAAAAAGATGCAGTACAGGATTATGAAGTTCCATACCTGGTTTCCCATCAGCATAGATAGGCTTCTTGTTATCGACATGAGTCCTGTTCACCTTTTGCTGAAAAACTACAGTGAAAAGCAAATTAGGAAAGCAGTCATAGCAACAGAATAACAGGAAAGGTAGTTAACTTTCAGGACAGTGCAAGAACATCCAAAGCCCTTGAAAACAGAATACATTAAGGAAGATCTGTCACAGTGTGAACTGGCATTATTTTCCAATGCTTTAATTTTCCAGGACAGCCTGAGAGCTGTATCAAGTTCCTGCTGATTGGTTAGTAGACTCAGTTTGCAGTGTGGACAGCAAACTGAGGAAGCTAGGGAAGCTGAATCTTTTCATTCTGAAATCACAGACCTTGATTATATAAATACTACTTTGCCTCAATTTTTAAAAAGGAACTGGGTGCTAAAGTGTCAAAAGCTGAAGTGCTATACACTGACTACTTAAGGATTTGTTTTGACAATTACCACGATGCCTGACATACCTAGGTCCCTTCCACATTACCCATTTATAGCACTATGTTTCCACCGTAACTGCCATGACAACAGTCTATTGAATCCTAGGATTTGTAGTTTGGTGAGGCAGTAGAGTTTGCTGGCTGAGAATTCTACATAACCATTCTCAAATAGTAAATCTGTGAGACCAAGCATGGAGTAGTGGTTTTCAGTGTTGGATTAGATATCTGCAAGACCAGAGTTTTGAAACTTGATTATCCATGAAAACCCAAGGATGGAGTTTGACAAGCCAAACTATCTCATAGTTGGAGGTAAGCAGTGGCAAATCTCCTCTCCCCCTTGCTCAAAAACCCATATGTCTTTGCATTAGGTGCCAAACATTGTAATTGATTTGAAGGCACACACTATCACTATTTGCAGATTCCAGGATTTCATCGTATGGAATCATGGCAGGTAAAGTGGGATCATAGTACTATCATTGTGTGCAAGTGCCCAAGATAATGAGGGGTCTCCAGGTGGTGCTATGAAAGAACACTACCTGAAACTCCAAAGTGTTATAGTTAGTGAAAACAGGCAGTACTGGGTTGGATGGACCAAACAACTGGCTCAGTATAAAGCAGTTCCCTTTCTTCATATTCATGGGCTTCATGTGGATCACTTTCATATGTTTTTTGCTACATTAGTGGAGTCTTTTCAACTACCCCAAGGGTCTTGGGGCAGTTTTATTGTGCCCAATTGATGTGCATTATGGAAGGCTGACTGTGTTCATCACTAAGGCCAGGAGAGTTTGAGAGTCATGGATTCTAACCAACCCACAGAAAAGAAATTCAAGTGGATCCAAGACAATGCTCTTGATTAGAAAGTATTTTTATTGATAGGCTTTGGGATTTCTGCTGAGTTTTTGCAATGCTGAAGCAATTAAAAAATGGAATTTCTTTTCCAGCTGTTCAGAGTCAAATTGTTAGAACTACTTTGCATTCAGCAACTTGCTGGAAATGACTTCAGCTGGCAACAAATACAGTGAGTGGGCGAAGTAAGAGAAAATAAATTATTTGCCTTTTGGACTGAACTAGGGAGACACGTAATTACATTGCAATATGGCACGGACATTTCAGGATTTTAGGGAAAATAACAAAAAAACATTTTGCAGTTTATACAACAGTAAACATTCCCCCCCCCCCAAAAAAAAATCCACAGGTAAAATAAAATTATGTACTATAATATGTGAATCCAGTTACTACTATTAAAGATATCCTAGGAAGTTAGTATACAATAAGTTTAATTGCTCATAGTAAGAACTAAATTAACAGGCATTGGACTAAATCTTTGAACCATTTTGAGTTTCCTCCTCAAATTTCTAATAACTCACATGCTATCGTTTTTGATCACATGACATATCCATATTAAAGTGGCATAACCGAAGTACAATGTTGTATGCAACTTGGGGTGGGGAGATAGGGCAGAATAATTAATTGTTTGAAGTCATCTTCTTAATTTAGCTGCCATTCTAATATGGTCTTTTTAATGTCATTCACTGGGAAAGGGATGTAGGTGGGTGGATCTATTCTAGCCTGTAAGGAACTTAGTGACTTTGATAAGACACCGCCTTTCATAGGTATTGGAAAACACAAATAACATTATTTTCTGGTAGAACCTGCATCTCAAAAGGATACTATAAAATGAAATTGATTTAATAATATTTCATAGCATTATTGAAAACAGGGTGCTGGTAGCCTGTTCAGTCGCTATAAGGTTATAATTTGGATTCATGATCTCATAACTACTGGAGATTTATGATTCGTGTTTATGGTTATTATTAGCAACTAAATATGACATCCCCCCCCCCAAAAAAAACCCCAAACCTTTTCAATGTGATTGAAGATTGAGATGCTGAGAAATGATCAGAGCAGCAGTGTCCCAGTCATGGGTGCATTGAAATGAGATATTGCAACCAGTTTACAAAACAGGATTGTTATTGAATATTGTGTTTATGGAATTATAACTTACAGTTATGGATCTGTAACTGACTGTGTTCAGTAAGACTACAAAAGACAAGAGTGCCACCCTAATCCACCTTTTAGAGCCAGCAGCTAGATCATATGAAGGAGATCAGTTCAGATTACAATCAGGGTGCAAGGGAGTAATGTCTCCACCCTTATGCCACCAGCAAGTGAGGACCTCATCACACCTACCAATTTAAGCATCCTAGGATGCTTGCCAGCCAGTTGGGGGATGATGGATATGTAGCCCATCACACGGCATCCCCCAACTTTTGGCAGAGGCCCCACCCCCAACCAGCATGGAAGTGTCCTAGGATGCTTCCTTGTCAACATGGAAAGGCTCCCATGTTGTGCTGCCTCCAATGAAACCAGCACACTTCTACCCTGGTTTCGGAGATGCTTCCACCATGTGATGGGAGAAGCGTCACCGTGCCTGCTGTTTTGCCATGCTTGCTGGTGAAATAGCACCAGTATGGGTGTGATAAGGTCCTAGTCCACAACAATCAGAAGAAGGAGCCATATCCACTGGTAGGAACATCACCCTTGTGCCTTTCTTCTGCAGCTGAACAGACCTCCTTGATTTGATTTGGCTGCTGGATTCTGGTGTGGGGTGGGTGAGTTGGCCAGCAAATGTTACTTTGTTATGTAGATATAACTAAGTAGCTGATGTAGAATATTGGTGTAGATCTGTAACAATCTGGTTTTCTTATGGAGCCATTTTTAGTGTTTCTGTACATGAGGCACCTACTTTCCTTATGAGAGTGATGATCATTCATTGATTTTTCATAGAAAGCACTTTATGACTGATATCCCCAAAAATGTATGAATCTAGAAATTTTAGTCAAAACATGGACCCCCAAAACCCTAATCAACCTATCCACAGGTCAGTGTAAGTTATGTAGTTTAACTCCATTTATTTATTTATTTATTTACAGTATTTATACCCCACCCTTCTCACCCCAAAAGGACTCAGAGTGGCTAACAGAACACACATACAGCAAACATTCAATGCTGATTATACAATTAACAAGGACAAAAAACACAAACAGAGGCAAAGGCAGTTTTTCCTATCTTATTTCTGGCATCTCAGAGGCTATGCTTGACTTCGACCATGGGGGGAGGTGCTGTCGCTCCATCTTCCATGCCAAGAAGCCTTCCTCTGATCGATGTCCTTAAGGGCACCTTTATTACCTCCTCACTACTTGCATTTCTGCTTTCGACCCGCTAGGTGAGCAGGTGAGTTGGGGCTAACGGCAGGTGCTCATTCTGACCTGGACTTGAACTGTTGACCTTTTGATCGGCAGGATTTTTCTGCACCACAGAGGTTTAGCCTGCTGTGCTAAGCCTGGCTCTTGTTAAAACAAGTAACTATTGTATTCCTTTCATGGAGTAGTGGCAAAAGGCACGAGCTCCAGGGAGGACTACAAACCCCTTCTACTCTTTCTGCCATGGCTCCACTTCTGGCCTTTTTGAATGCCAGGACAGGAAAATGGCAGCAGTAGTAGCTCTTTGACACTTTTCCTCAAAGGACCAGTGCTTCCCTTTCTCTGCAAAATGACCCTTGACTTGCCCATATCAAAAATGCATAAGTTTGGTCCCACAACCTGATCCAAACATGAAGTCGATTTATATACTGCAAGATTTATGAGATTATTTTGGATAAAACTGTAAACTAAGTAGGAAAGAGCCATAGAGACTACACCAATAAACAATGGTGTTTGGTAAATTTAGTTCATTCTGTCAGCTAACTTGAGGTGCGTGTGTGCACATACATAATCTGAACTTATTCTTTTCTCAGCTTGAACTGTCTAATGTAGCATGCTAAGGCAGCAAAAGACTGATTCGCTTAGTTGGAAGTACCACCTGTTATGACAAAAGCCCTCAAATAACATTGATGACATGATACATGTCTTATTGACTTGAAGAAAACACTCCATATGAATGAAACATTAGCGAAAATTGTGCTTTGAATGAGAATATGGCTATCAAACCCTCTAAATAAAACTGCAGTTCTAGCAAGAACTTAAAATAGTGGGTTTATGGTTAAGAGACAAAAGCATAAATACAAAAGGAATGGCCAGGAAAACTTTACACCCCACCTGAACACCCCCCGCATGGTGTATCTATACTGAAGAATTAAAGTGCCATTAAACTACATTGATTTCACAGTGTAGATGCACCCCTAGTTTGACAGCAAAGCTACCCATGATTTTTCCTTCTATTGACCATTGTGCATCGTGATCAAGTTACTGTTTTTGATGACTTTTCCAGTGCAGCCACTGACCTTTTTGTTTTGTGGATTCCGGAAGCTAAATTCCAGCAAAACCCAAAATGTAATTTAGTGATGTTCTGGATTTTTGTGGGGCTCAATGGAATTGAATTAGAAGTAAGCCTGCCCACTGGAAAGTGGGCTGAATAAACACACACACAAACACACACACTAAAAAACACTACTCACAATCTTGGCTGGGAATACCAAGGAACTATGGACTGAAGTTTCTCCTTCAGACCTAGGCAGTTCTCAAAGGTCAGAGCTGAGTAATATGGCACATCACCATAAACAAAAACAACACCTGTTTATGGTTAAACTGTGCTAACTTCATTTTCTGGGCCAATAATGAGCGATGTGTGATTAAACAAAATGGCCTTCTGCAGTTACTTACTGACGATCTGCAACTGGCAGTGTGTTGAAATAACCCGGTGAAGAATATTTTAAAAACCCCTCAAGGAACAGGAGAGGTGCATACTGAGAGTGCTCACCATCTGGATACAGAGCCATTTGGCTCTGCGGTATGGCTTCACCTTGATGAGATATCCTCGTATTGCAGAATATCTCCTGCTATAAACTGTATGCAGGGTTGGGAAGTAAGTGGGAAGAGGGGATAGACATTTATTTATGGGAAGGGGACAGAAATTTATTCAGCTATGTATTCTTCTAAATGTAAATCTACTTCTGAAAGAACTTTGTGTGGGTGGGTGGAGAAAAGAGAGAGCAGGAAAGAAAAAGAGAAAACACCTACTCCCTTTTCTGAACTCAGACATTCATTCTTCTGTTCTTTGTTGCATTTTGCAAGGTAATTTTGCATCGATGATAGCTAGGAGATAATCACCCCTGCTTTTAGATTTACTGTTGTCTCCTCACTAAATGAGACTGTTTACAATGCAGATTGGTTATAGGCGTTTAGCTTGCAAACAAAACTTTTTCCAAGGACCCTGGGAATTGCAGTTCTTTAAGGTTGGAATCTCCAAGTGATTGTTAACACTGTGTCATGCTTCTGGGATATTGTGACAGTTAAACTGGTTCAAAACTGATGTAATTGTCCTTAGAATCACTTGGCGGGCTTTATTATTTCCAGGGAGAAGCATGAGTCAACTGGCTCATTTTCTTTCTATTTTCATGGTTTTTCAATTTTATCTTGTGCAAGGATAGGATTGCCACTGGAGTCTTTAAATGCCCAGCTTTTTTTTTCAATGACTGGTTATTCTGATTTGTTGAAGACCCACACTGGGATTGGGAATTTAGAGGAGTTTATGCCTGACCAAAGGTTACTTTCCACGTCACCACACTGGGATTGGGAATTTAGAGGAGTTTATGCCTGACCAAAGGTTACTTTCCACGTCACCACATATTCCATGGCAGTGGGTCTGGCCTGAATTTTAATCTAGATTTTAAATGAGCTATCTGAGAAGTTAAACCCTATGCCCCAAATAAATCCAATGTGGATATCTCCTTTGATGCTTGGGTTAAAAGACCAACTGGAATAACCATCAAACTGACATAGGAGGAACCACATATCACCAATGTAGATTAACCACGTCCTTTAAATAGGAAATGCATCATCCAAATAGAGAACAAAAGAAGATAATGATTTGCATTTGCTGATCAATCTCTCATACTTGCACATGTCAAACATGCAGATTTAAAAATAATTACAATTTTCACAAAAATACAGGGTGAGGCAGCATAACTTCCTTTTTTAAAATGCGCGCCATTCAGTCGGTTGAAGACGTAGCGGAGCGCTAGTGGTCTTGTTCGAGAGGCAGGAGTATAAAGTTTTGTCCTGACACAGTTCAGTCGCCATCATGCGTTGGAACAGTGAGGAGCGTGCTTTTGCTGTTGAGGCCTACTTTTCGAGCGGATTTGGAGTGGCCGGCCCGCTCTCCAGATTTGGCCCCTTGTGATTTTTTTCTATGGGGTTTTTTCAAATCCCATATTTATGTGAACCGTCCAAGGACCCTACAAGATTTGAAGACCAACATCCAGGAAGAAATTGCCAACATAACGCCTGCTATGCTGGCAAGAGTCATGACAAATGCCAGAAATCGGTTTACTCAGTGTATGGAGAATGGGGACGTCACCTACCTAATTTGATCTTCAAAACTACGTAAAACAAAACTTTAGGTATGCACCTACATTATATATATATATATATAAAATTCTGATTCATACAGTGGGTTTTATTAAGTTTTGAAAAAAAGAAGTTATGTTTGTGATTGGGTGACTGGCTTTTCTTCTCGATCTGCCAGTGCTATTAATGACAACCTCAAGGTTCACATGATATCTCCTTTTCTTGTAATTCTTTATCTTTAAGCCAAACTTGGTCTGCACTCTCCCCAGACACACAACTACCCCTCTACATTTGCAGGTCAGATGTTTGTGAATGTGATTATTTGATTAAATTTTTTATCTTTAGGAATCTCTAGGTTCTCCAGTGAAATTCCCTGGTCAACTGCCATTATTTTGGTAATGAAGACATATGAATGAGGACAGAGCTATATTTCGTTAAAGTCACTTTGGTAAAGTAAAGAATGTTTTCTAGGTATAGTTTCTAGGAGCATTAAAAACTGCTTTAGGATACATTTAGTGGACTTTTTTTTATGTCATTCTGTGTTTCCCAAGGCTCTACACTGGATCTACACTGCCATATAATCCAAATTATTAAAGCAGATAATCCACATTAGCTGCTTTGAACTGGATTTTGTGTGTATACACTGCCATATAATCCAGTTCAAAACAGATTTTATATGGCAGTGTAGATCCAGCTCAAATCAACAGGATGATGTGGGTTATAGCCTGAATGATAATCCAGAGATTTGAACCCTATTTCCCCAGATGATTCAACAGCTTGGATAGTGCCTTGAAAATTTTGGACAAAAATCAAAATCAAGAATGTGTTTACCATCACATTGACAAGAAAGCTGATAGGAAGGCCACCGGCTGCTATCATGAGTAATGCAACTGATTGTTTTTTACACACTGAAACAAGTATCCACAATACATTACCTTTAGTTGTGGTTAAAAATAACTTTCAAAGCTATGTCTGAACTTTGCATTTTCTTTGTGAGGACAATATGTATAAGTTTTCCCAAGGATATAGATTAAAACTAGCATACCAGGGGTTCATTCACACTACACAAGTTTTCCCAAAACAGATGTACTTCTCTGCAAAATGTTTCAGGGATTAACCAATGAATGTGCTATTATTCCACTTCATTTGCCATGGTTCCTTCCTATGGAATCTTGGGATCTGTAGTTTGGTGAGGCACTTATAGCACTCTGGCTGGGAACATTAATGCTCCTCTGCAAATTGCCTGTGCTAAGATTCCTAAGGCCAGAACTATGACAGTTAAAGTGGAATAATAGTGCTATAATTGTGTAGTGCGAATGAGCCCCTGGTATGCTTGTTTTAATTTGTATCCTTTATCAACTTGCTATGAAGAAGCTAATTCATCTGTACAACCTCTGAGGATGCCTGCTATAGATGCAGGTGAAACATCAGAAGAGAATGTTTCTAGAACATGTCCATACAGCCCAAAAAACATACAATAAACCGGCAATTTCATCTTGTTCTGTTACCAGTTGTAGCTTAAGGATGCAATCCAAGGTCCTGAAGATTATTTTCCAAATAGATTCAGCTTTTTGGGTAAATCCTTTAATGTTTGGACTAAAAGCTAGCACAGAATTACCACTCCAGTGACATAAAAGAATGAGTGTAAACAGACCTTACCTTGTGCTATGTAGGGAGTGTTCTCCTGTTTCATAGGGAAAGATGAAGGACGAGGTGCAGGTGCTGGTGGCCGGTTCATAATGAAAGATTTGCTTCCTTTATTCCGATCTTTTATGACATTAGCAAGAATCATATCATAGACTCCCTCATCCAACAGAGTGGAAGTGTATGGATTTTCCTCTTTTTCTTTGTGAGACATGTCTTCTTTATCTCCACGTGTTTCTGTCATGAACTTTTGGTCTTCTACTATTTCCCATGCTGGAAAAAAATTAGACAATTAACTAGACTCCAAAGAGGATGAAATAAGTGGGCTCAAATCTGCTAATACACAACTTTGTACAAGATATCTGGAGACAATAAGAAGAAATAGTCTACAGCATTCCAAATTCTAATAGGATTCAGGCCCAAATAGTTCTGTTTAGTATTTTTTAGTGGGTCTTCCAAATTATGTTGGTTTTAGAGTCAACAAGAATAAGTTGCTTATCAGGATTATGCAGAAATGAGAGTGAAGCATCACTTGCACTGTTTACCTTTTTCTCTTTTATAAATGATTCCATGCTAAATCAAGCTGAAGCTCCAAAGCTGGTTTAGATCAGAAGCTACTTTGAATACAGGTCTGGGCTCCTTAAACCACAGCTGCTCTCAGCAGTTCTCTAGTCATATTGTCCCCTTCTCTCCATATGATTTTAGATTTCTAATTGTGGAGAGACAAGAGCATTGGATGCTTGTGAAATGCCAGCTCCAATGTTAGGTGACTGTTTCATCCCTACCTTTGAAAAGAGAGGTCCTCTAATTTATCCTATGTGACCTGAGAAGGCCACTGCAAACGTATCTCTCACAGAGCTTCTGAATGGTAAAGACTTTGATCATATGGAGATTATACAGTAGGTCCTCCACTTTCATAGGCATGCATGACCCTGTGAAAGTGGGAAAATCATGAACGAAAAAATGCTACATGAGAAGCCACCTCTCTAGGAATCTCTATGTCCTCCAGTATGACAGATTTTGGCAAAAATGCTTATCAATACATATGATTCCCATATATATATATATATATATATATATATATATATATATATATATACCTATATAAAAAATACCATCAGAGTTAGTTTGCCTGATAACATTAGCATTTTCTGTATTTTACATATGTCAGATTTTGTAAAGCATTTGAGTGTTCTGACAGCACTAGGAATAGCAGTATCTTACCGGAGAATTAAATGCTGCTTTGCTTAATACAGTTTTATTTTGCGTGCAAGATTTTTTGCTTACTCTCTTAACTTGTCTTTCCTTATTCTAGCTGAATTATCATGGCTTTCACCAAAGAAAACTGTGTAGCCTGGCAAAAAATCTGTTGGGGATAACAACACTAATTTCACACAGAATGACACTTACAGAGTGCCAAAGGAATCCATTTCAGCATTCCTAAAATATTGCGGCCAGCCTGTTGACTGAGGCCAGTTATAAGAAACATATAGCTGTTATAACAGCTTCACTAGCCATCAGTACATTTCCAGACAGAGTGCCAAATGATGGTTAGGACCTTCCAAATACATGGCCTGGCTCCATATTATCTAAAACAGTATCTTCCTTTATGAATGAGCTTAAATTTTAAGATCTTCAGAGGAGGGCTGTCTTTCAGTTCAGCCACCATCACTGGTCTGTTTCTTTGTAAGAGGCCTGTCTGCTCTTCTTTTGCTAACATATTTTTTCCAAGTAGGCTGTAAAGAGTAATTGTCTTCCAGAAGCTTTTTAGGGTGTATGTTCTACTTTTAATTTTGCTATGCTTTTGAATTAATGTTTTAGAAAAATTAATTGATTAGGTTCGGGCCCCACCTATCTTTGCAATCGCATCTCCCTCTATGAACCAGCGTGAACTTTAAAATCTTCCGGGGAGGCCCCCCTTTCGCTCCCACCACTGTCACAAGAGAGGTAAAACATCAAAACATCTGGGTGTCCCCGGGCAATGTCCTTGCAGACAGCCAATTATCTCACACCAGAAGTCACTTGCAGTTTCTCAAGTCACTCCTGACATGAAAAAAAAAACCTCTCTAAAAAATTTGGAGACACCTTATTCCAGATTCTCTTTGAAAAAGAAACAATAATCCTTTTCCAAAGAAATATCCAACCTAAGACTTCATGGAAACACAGTACAATTATACTGAAAGATTCATGTAGAAAGTGCTTCAGAGGGATTCTGTTTCATCCTTGGGATATTAACTGTCAGGGCCTGTCTTCAAGGTGTGTGTTTGCTTACAGATAAGTTCACGAAGGAGTAGAGTTATTTATGTGTGGTGTAGCCATGTACCCATTTGGGAGTCTAGTGAGCTAGTCCAAACTCTTTCCAATGAATTGTTTAATCCCATCTCATTTACCGGAGGAGGTAGTTCATGTAGGAACAAAACTTTGAGTCCCCTTTGGGGAGTTAAAGAGGGGTATAAATAAATATAACAACAACAACACAAAGGTCACAAGCATGCAAAATAGAAGCTGCATCTTCTAGAGGACATAGTTTTTGTATTCAGAAGGTTGTGTTGTCAACATCATTCTCTCAATGAGTCTCTAAAGCAGTGGTTCTCAACTGTGGGTCCCAGGTGGTTTGGCCTACCATTATGTACTCCAGCTTTTTCAAGACATAACATGGCTGAGTCAAGGAGTGGCCACAAGAAGACAGTAACTCTAAAGGGGGTCGGGACTGTTGCACAATGAGGGTAGTTTATCCCCACCCCCCTGTAATGACTATAAAAAAACACACACCAGCAGATATGTGTCATTAAGGATGCCAGTCTCAATAAATCAGCTTCTAATCTTTCTATGTTAGTAAAATGCCCATGGATATTTGAAATCATTCCAATTTATACAAGCTAAATATGTTTTCCCATGCCAATACAACATTATCATTTCATTTTCTTACTGTTTGACCATATACAGATGTAATGTTGGTGGACTAAAAGTGGCTTATTCATAGGTAAGCCAATATGACATTACGGTGTGCAGGGGCGGCTCAACCCATTACGCAAAGTAAGCATTTGCAGTATAGTTGATTTTGTCCAGGGGTGCTCTTGAGGCGCTCTTGGGGGAAAATAGACCTTGACATATGTGAGTTGTAGTTACTGGGATGTACAGTTCACCTACAATCAAAGAGCATTCTGAACTCCACCAATGATGGAATTGAACCAAATATGGCACACGGAACAGAAAATATATATCAGTGATTGGTTGGGGTGGGGGTAGGGGTGCCAAAATATTGTTTGCTTACAGTTGAAAATTACCTAGGGCTACCTCTGGCGGTGTGTATATGAATAAGGAAAAATGGGAAGGTCTAGTGCCAACAGAGGAGGAGAGGAAGGCACGCGCTGCACCAAGAGAGGTGGAGAGGAAGGTGCACGCTGCATGAGAGAGGAGAAGAAGGAAAGCTGGGTTGCTGTGTGGAGAGGTGAGAGTCCTGGCAGGAAGATGTGGGGTTGAAAGAAGTCCCCTTTTCACCCCCACACTTTCCCACCAGGATCCTCACCCGAGGGGGTCTTTTTCTGCCTTAAAAAGGGATGAAAAACTAGGCTTATACTAGAGTATATACAGTAATTTATTCCTGCTCCCTCCAATGTCCATACCTGGAGACAAGTAGGAAAACCCATCCTGTCTTGCAGTAATAGGTTGAATTCGAGGTGGTAATGGTGGCCTGTCAGCATAGTTAAAATCTCTGTAATGTATTTGTGAGACTTCGTTGAATATCATACTATATTTCTCATCAATACCACCCAAGCGATGAAGTTTCTCCTCCACTTTATTTCCTCCTTCTTCTGCTGGTGTCGGTGCTTCTTTCTCTCCTATTCTTTTCCCTTCATCTTCTTCCTGCTCTGCCTCGTTGTCCATGCCTCTGTTCTTCTTGATTTTCCTACAGGCTCCAGGCTGTTCTCTTGTGCCTGTTAATGTTGGGGAAGCTAGATTATTACTTCATTTAAAATACACCATCTGGAAGCATTTCATATTTTGCAGATTTTCACAGGAGCAACAGCAGCACTGCTAATAAAACTTTCATGAACTAATACAGTGGAAAGCTGTCACATCTATAACTCCAGTGGAGGAACAACTAAAATATTTATTAAATGACGGTGGAGGCTTTCATTAGATTCTACATCTTTGCCGCACACAACATACCCATGTGTGTGATAATATTAGACTTTCTCCAAATGACTGTAGTAACACAATGCTGTTTTCCCCCCAGGCATCAGTAATCCCCTTCCCGTTTTGAATGCCCAGTTTTGAATGCAGCACAGCACCTATGCATGAGCAGAGCAGGGCAGGGCATAAATTATGCAGCTTGGAAGGGTTTATTCTTAAAACACTGTGGCTTGCTTGCTGGTTGTTTGACACCTCTTTTAACTTGGAATAAATATTGCCATAAGGAGGAGAAACCACCTAGATACTTTGAAGACACCTGATCCTGTCTAATTTTGGAAGCTAAGCAAGGCATAGTTAGCATTTGGAAGGGTTATTGCCATGGAATATCAGGTGTTGTAAGGTACATTCAAAGAAAGAGAATGGCAAACCACCTCTGAATAAATCTTGCCAAGAATGCCATATGATTGGGTTGTCACAAATTGGGATTTACTTGAAGGCACAAAGAACAAGGAATGGAAATTTGAACTATGGTCCCTGTATTTAAAGGACAGGTGTCTCTAATTTCAATTACCCTCATCCAGAAATGATGTTCCTCAAGCAGAAGCATGGTCAACCTCATGCTTCTGCTTGAGGTTGACCATAGGCATGTTGGAAGACCTAGAAATGTTAAAGAGCTATTCTCTCTAGGTATTTTGTAGGTTCTCCAATGCAATATTGCCTATGGTCAGAAAATACAGCAACTGTATCTCATAATTCACAAAACAACATATTTAAAATTATTCCATAAGCTGTTTCCCTCCCCACTACAGGTCCTCAAACCCAAAAGAGCCCTTCTCACCATACGGGTGTCCTTAGATTCCCATCTTGGCCACCAGGTTTGTAGGACATTTTATTAATTGTAGCCCAATTTTCTTTTGAATTCTTTTCCTATTGTTCAATACATTAGATACCACTCCCAGTTTTGTACCATCTATAAATTTGATAAAAATTTCCTCCCCCGACTTTATTTTCCCTCTACAGCAGATACCTTCACAAACAAATTGGACTCAAATAAGGAACTAGGGTTTACGAGGTATACCCTGAAACTACCATAGGTAAAGATAAAGGTTTTCCCTTGACATTAAGTCCAGTCATGTCTGACTCTGGGGGCTGGTGCTCATCTCCATTTCTAAGCCAAAGAGTCAGCATTGTCAGTAGACACCTCCAAAGTCACGTGGCTAGCATGACTGTATGAAGTGCCGTTACCTTCCCGCTGGAGCGGTACCTATTGATCTAGTCACATTTGCATGTTTTTGAGCTGCTAGGTTGGCAGAAGCTGGACCTAAGAGCAGGAGCTCACTCTGCTCCCAGGCCTTTTGGTCAGCAAGTTCAGCAGCTTAACCCACTGCACCACTGGGGCTCTGAAACTCATATATATATATATATATATATATATATATATATATATATATATATAACAGAATATGTTTTTATTAAAAACAGGTCACAGAATTAGAGGTTTTCCCCTTTGTCATATTGATAAAAATATTATTTTATTACCAAGCGAGAATCTGGTAAGAAATTTCTTTACTAGCAACTTACTAAATGTATTGCATTGAGATTTTGATTTCATCATCATCACATAGGTATCATCTTCAACCTTCACTTCTTCCTCTGGACTATCTTTTTCCTTCTTGTCTTCATTTAGCTGGAGAGATATACATATCAAGAAACATTCAATAACAGTACAATCAGATGTCACAGACCTAGAATGAGACACGCCAAGATCCTATACATTTTGTACTTCTGTGTCAATGACTGGCATACATCCATCTTAGATATAATGATAATAATACATATGAATTTAGAAGAAAGAGACAGGATGCAAAAATTAGATAAACATAAATATATTGTCAATCAGCCACAGAGCTACTTAAGATGATATGAAATGAAGTCCTCCACAATCCTACCTAGCCATACAATGCCAGTCATCCATATCTGATAGCTTCTTAATGTCTAGCATATCTCTTGCTATCAAGATATTAAAGCCAAATATGCCAGTCAGGCTTGATAATTCACAAAACAACATATTTAAAATTATTCCCATAAGCTGTTTCCCTCAAACCCAAAAGAGCCTTTCTCACCATACGGGTGTCCTTAGATTCCCATCTTGGCCACCAGGTCTGTAGGACATTTTATCAATTTCAGCCCAATTTTCTTTTGAATTCTTTTCCTATTGTTCAATACATTCGACACAACTCCCAGTTTTGTATCATCTATAAATTTGATAAGAATTCCTTCCCCCGACTTTATATAAATCATTGATAAAAAGTATTGTATTGCTCCAAGGACAGAACCCTTTGGTATTCCACTTGTGACTTCCTTCGACTTGGAAGCTCAGCAACTGTTGGTGACTTTCTGAGCACAGGTTTCCAACCAATCATGGATCCATCTGATGATATTTCCATCTGTTCCATAGTCAGACTGCTAATGAAAAAGTCATGGGGGACCTTATCAAATGACTTGTTGAAACCCAGATAAATTACATCCACAACCTTTCCACCATCCACTAAACTGGTCAAAAAAGATATAAGGTTATTTTGGCAGAATTTGTTCTTGACAAAGCCACACTGATTCCTGCTAATCATCGCATTGTAAATAAAATATTTGTAGATAGATTTCTGTATCCATTCTACTATTTTTCCTGGCATTAAGGCCAAGCTGACTGACCTATAGTTTCCTGGATCTTCTGTTCTGCTCTTTTTGAAGAGGAGAACAATGTCCACCTGTCTTCTTGCACCTCATTCATCCTCTAAGATTTCTAAAACGTGGTTCTAAGTGGTTCTGCAAGTACAACTTCACTACCCTGGGATGAAATTCCTTGCAGATACTAACTTATTTAGCTTAACTAGGTAATTACTGACTAACTCCTTAGCGATCTTGATTTGCAACTTGGTTTCCTTACCAAGGTGTCTCTCCTGATGGGCAAAAGCACACAGCCCATGCTTTTATTGAGGGGGGGGGGGAGGGGGAGTGAAGGAAAATGCAGTTCTTTCTTTTCACTGTGATCTGTTAATATATTGCATACATGGGATTGCTTTATCAGACATGGATCTACCATGTTATAGATGTCTCACTTTTAAAGATACATCTAAGGACTTCATCCCATTGGGGGGGGGGGGAGAGCATCATATTACTGTGGCATTATGTCCTGTTGCTTTAGAAAGCTAATTGTATCATTTCTCAGATACCACCACACACTGTTCTTGCTTTCCTTTTCTCTCGAAATCATCAATTTTCACAGATTTATCACATGAGCAAGTGCAGTTTCCACCCACTTGATTAAAAAAAAAACCTTGGAAAAAACTTTAAGGATACTTGACTGTCCCCTCCAATTTGCTACTCTTGAGTAGACCTGAGGCACTGTTCTTAAACAAGACACCACTTTGAGGATACTTGACTTTCCCCTCCAATCTGCTACTGTCAAGGAGGCAGGAGAAATGGTTCTTAAGGCAGACCCCTCTTCTCTGGGCTCCTCTCCTTTGCTCCCAGTTTCATTACTTTCATTCACAGATGTCCAAAACAATGTTTAAAAGCTAGCAGTAATGCAATTTCTAAAGCCAAGATTACTATAAATGAGAAATGACAAGCAAAACAAAATGGTGATATCTTGCTATCAAGTCTTTTTTTAGTGTCTAAAGGATAGAAGCACTACAATTACGAATCTCCTGGATATTGAACCAACAACAATTCTATCTTTTCCTGTCCTGTTTCTAGGGCATCACCAGCTGGTATTTACTATCCCATGGGACAGAGCCACAATGCCAAACTGCTTTTTTCTTTGTACTTACATTTTGGTGTTTGCTTTAAATCTGTGCAGTTCTCAGTTCAAGTACCAATAACATCATTTTTAGAACTCTGTGGAGGGTTTTGTATGGGGAGGGGTATCTTTTTAACAAGGTAGTACATTATGTAGTCACTGGCATTTGGATTTCAAAAACATTTTCAAGGCCAGAATTTAAATAGCATATGCTGGCACTCTCATTCTCATGGAAATTCGTTAAAGCCTAGCCATCTTTTCGATACCTTATAAGACCTTTCCATTCAGGCTGGCCTTGGGAGATGTGTTTTGCTTTCCATTATATTTCTGAGTTGTTCCACAGGACAGCTGACATGAACACAATGCTTTTCCATGTGTGCAAAAATACAGGAGATGAGAAAGATAATAGTGTTGTCTTCTTTTGCCTCTGCTCTATGCTAGACCATTATTTTGAGTGGGATCAACTTTGTGAAATTAGTGCTTCACACTGCAACTCTCAGAATATTACAAACAGAAATACAAGGTGTGGGTTAGTATCCTGAACTGTAGTTACAAATCTGTAATCTGGAATAAACTAATATATTCAGTATTATAGTATGACATCTTCATATTCACAAGGGATATGTTCCTGAATTTTGTATGGATATTTTGTATGATTTTGTATGATCACAGGCAAGCATGGTCTGGGAGAACAAAATGAAGCGGGACGCAGGCTGATAGAATTTTGCCAGGAAAACTCGCTGTGTATAACAAACATTCTCTTCCAACAACCTAAAAGACGGCTTTATACATGGACTTCACCAGATGGTCAGCACCGAAATCAGATTGACTACATCCTTTGCAGCCAAAGGTGGCGGACATCCATCCAGTCAGTGAAAACAAGACCTGGGGCTGACTGTAGCTCAGATCACGAACTTCTTATTGCTCAATTTAGAACAAAACTAAAGAGATCAGGGAAAATACACAGACCAGTTAGATATGATCTCACTAACATTCCTAGCGAATATACAGTGGAAGTGAAGAACAGATTTGAAGGACTAGATTTAGAAAACATAGTCCCAGAAGAACTATGGACAGAAGTCCGCGACATTGTTCAGGAGGCGGCAACAAAGTACGTCCCAAAGAAAAAGAAAACCAAGAAGGCAAAATGGTTGTCTGCTGAGACACGGGAAGTAGCCCAAGAAAGGAGGAAAGCAAAAGGAAACAGGGATAAGGGGAGATATGCCCAGTTAAATGCGCAATTCCAGAGGTTAGCCAGAAGAGATAAGGAACTATTTTTAAATAAGCAATGCATGGAAGTGGAAGAAGACAACAGAATAGGAAGGACAAGAGACCTCTTCCAGAAAATTAGAAACATTGGAGGTAAATTTCAGGCAAAAATTGGTACGATAAGAAACAAAGATGGCAGGGACCTAACAGAAGCTGAAGAGATCAAGAGAAGGTGGCGAGACTATACAGAAGATCTGTATAGGAAGGATAATAATATCGAGGATAGTTTTGACGGTGTGGTGAATGAATTAGAACCAGACATCCTGAGGAGTGAGGTTGAATGGGCCTTAAGAAGCATTGCTAACAACAAGGCAGCAGGAGACGACGGGATCTCAGCTGAACTGTTTAAAATCTTAAAAGATGATGCTGTCAAGGTGATGCATGCCAATTGCCAGCAAATATGGAAAACACAAGAATGGCCATCAGACTGGAAAAAATCAACTTATATCCCCATACCAAAAAAGGGAAATGCGAAAGACTGCTCAAACTTCCGTATAGTGGCCCTTATTTCTCATGCCAGTAAGGTAATGCTCAAGATCCTGCAAGGAAGACTCCAGCAATACATGGAGCGAGAGTTGCCAGATGTTCAAGCTGGGTTTAGAAAAGGCAGAGGAACGAGAGACCAGATTGCCAATATCCGCTGGATAATGGAGAAAGGCAGGGAGTTTCAGAAAAACATCTATTTCTGCTTCATTGACTATTCTAAAGCCTTTGACTGTGTGGATCATAATAAATTGTGGCAAGTTCTTGGTGGGATGGACATACCAAGCCACCTTGTCTCTCTCCTGAGGAATCTGTACAAGGACCAAGTAGCAACAGTAAGAACTGACCACGGAACAACAGACTGGTTCAAGATTGGGAAAGGCGTACGGCAAGGCTGCATACTCTCACCCAACCTTTTTAACTTGTATGCAGAACACATCATGCGATGTGCGGGGCTTGATGAATGCAAGGCTGGGGTTAAGATTGCTGGAAGAAACATTAACAACCTCAGATATGCAGATGACACCACTCTGATGGCCGAAAGCGAGGAGGAGCTGAGGAGCCTTCTAATCAAGGTGAAAGAAGAAAGTGCAAAAGCCGGGTTGCAGCTAAACATAAAAAAAACCAAGATTATGGCAACAAGAATGATTGACAACTGGAAAATAGAGGGAGAAAATGTGGAGGCCATGACAGACTTTGTATTTCTAGGCGCAAAGATGCAGATGCAGACTGTGGCCAGGAAATCAGAAGACGCTTACTTCTTGGGAGGAGAGCAATGTCCAGTCTCGATAAAAGAGTAAAGAGTAGAGACATCAGACTGGCAACAAAGATCCGCCTAGTCAAAGCCATGGTATTCCCTGTAGTAACCTACGGATGTGAGAGCTGGACCTTAGGGAAGGCTGAGCGAAGGAAGATCGATGCTTTTGAGCTGTGGTGTTGGAGGAAAGTTCTGAGAGTGCCTTGGACTGCGAGAAGATCCAACCAGTCCATCCTCCAGGAAATAAAGCCCGACTGCTCACTGGAGGGAAGGATACTAGAGACAAAGTTGAAGTACTTTGGCCACATCATGAGGAGACAGCAAAGCCTAGAGAAGGCAATTATGCTGGGGAAAGTGGAAGGTAAAAGGAAGAGGGGCC